TGTTGAAAGCACCTTTTCCAGCTTGGGCTTTGGGCGAGTGAGAGAGAGCCCAGGGAGTGGGCAAGAGGGGAGGAGGCTCAGGAAATATCTGGAAGGCTGCACAAGCCGAGTGTGTCCAGGTGAGGCAGGAGTAGGTGGCAGAGTGTGAGTTTCCTTCCCCAGGTGGCGTCCCATTGGGGTTTTACAATAAGCAGCCTGGTCACTGGCATCAAAAGTGAGACAGGCATGGTGGCTCCCGCCTGTAATCCCAGTGCTTTGGGAGGCTGAAGTGGGAGAATCCCTTGAGCCCAGAAGTTTGAGACCAGCCTGGGCAACTCAGGGAGACCCCAACTCTACTAAAAATACAAAAATTAGCCAGGCACAGTGGCACGCACCTGTAATCCCAGCTACTCAGGAGGCTGAGGCAGGAGAATCACTTGAACCCAGGAGATGGAGGTTGCAGTGAGCCGAGATCGTGCCACTGTACTCCAACCTGGGCGACAGAGTGAGATTTTGCCTCAAAAAAAAAAAAAAAAGGAAAGAAAAAACACGCAAGCAAGCAAGAAAGATTCCATTGTCTGAAACGAGAAATCCAAGTGTGTCCTGCCCAGCTCACCCCCAAACCTCTAATACGGGATCCAGTCCTATCCCAGATGTGTCTAAATGCCCAGCCCAGGCTACCTTCCAGGCCTAGTCTCACCCAGACCATCACACCATCCTCCCTGGCTTCCCTGCCTCTAGCCTCCCTCCTCCAGCCCATCCTTCTCTGAGCACCCCTTTTCTGCTCTGACTCCATCCCCCTAAACCTGGTCTCCCTCCATCTCTCCTCTCCTGCCCCCAGGACTGCCCGCCTGGCTCCCAGGACTTCAGAGAAATGCAGTGTTCTGAATTCGACAGCATCCCTTTCCGTGGGAAATTCTACACGTGGAAAACGTACCGGGGAGGTGAGTGTGGGACTCCGAAGGCCGTGGGGCTGTGAAGGGCAGCTGTGGGAGTGTCCATCAGCCGGTGGATGAATGCAGCATCCCGGGGTCTGCCCTGAGCCCTGTCTCCACTCAGGGAGCCAGAGTACCCAGGATACGGTACCATGGGGGTTCAACTGGACGCTGGGAACCCCCACTCCCTCTGCCCAAGCTGCCCATCTTCTTGGGTCTGGGGTCTGTCCCTCTTGGCCTCACTCCCCTAGGGAAGGAGTTCCAGGGTGGCCTGGCCCGTGGGGTGACGGGGCCGTGCCCCCCAGGGGGCGTGAAGGCCTGCTCGCTCACGTGCCTAGCGGAAGGCTTCAACTTCTACACGGAGAGGGCGGCAGCCGTGGTAGACGGGACACCCTGCCGTCCAGACACGGTGGACATTTGCGTCAGTGGCGAATGCAAGGTGGAGGGAACTCCCAGGGAGGTGGAGAGGGGATAGGGAGCGGGGGTGGGTTAGGGGGTCGCCTTGCTCACCCCTTCTCCACGCAGCACGTGGGCTGCGACCGAGTCCTGGGCTCCGACGTGCGGGAGGACAAGTGCCGAGTGTGTGGCGGTGACGGCAGTGCCTGCGAGACCATTGAGGGCGTCTTCAGCCCAGCCTCACCTGGGGCCGGTGAGAGCCTCCAGCTTCTCTCCCACGCTCCTTGCATGGGCCAGCTGGCTGGGGGTGGAGCTAATCCCACTGCAGTAGCTGAGAACACTAACTCCTCAGACCCCAGGGGCCCCGTGGAGTGTCAGGAGTCCCCAAAAGTCCTGGGGACTCAGCCAGGTGAAGTGGCTCAAGCCTGTAATCCCATCGCTTTGGGAGGCTGAGGCAGGAGGATCACTTGAGACCAGGAGTTGAGACCAGCCTGGCCAACGTGCTGAAACCCCGTTTCTACTAAAAATACAAAAATTAGCCGGACACGGTGGTGAGCACCTGTAATCACAGCTACTCGGGAGGCGGAGGCACGAGAATTGCTTGAACCTGCGAGGTGGAGAGTGCAGTGAGCCGAGATCACGCCACTGCACTCCAGCCAGAGCGAGACTCTATCTCAAAAAAAAAAAAGAGTGTCTCAGGAGATGGGACCCTGAATCTCTCTCCTCTGCCTCCTGGAGGAGCTCCTGCCACGTCTGGGTGGAAGCGAGTGTCACTTTCCATCCTCCGTGAGCCAGAGGAGCTGGGGGAATGTTCTGTGCCAGCAAGGAAAGGCTTCCTATGGGAGGGGATATTCAGAAAGTGTTGAAAGCACCTTTTCCAGCTTGGGCTTTGGGCGAGTGAGAGAGAGCCCAGGGAGTGGGCAAGAGGGGAGGAGGCTCAGGAAATATCTGGAAGGCTGCACAAGCCGAGTGTGTCCAGGTGAGGCAGGAGTAGGTGGCAGAGTGTGAGTTTCCTTCCCCAGGTGGCGTCCCATTGGGGTTTTACAATAAGC